GCCCTGGGTAGAGTGCAGTGGTGACATTACAGCTCATGGCAACCTCACACTCCTAGGCTCAAATCATCCTCCTGCCTCGACCTCCCAAGTAGCTGGGACTACAGGTCAGCACCACTACACCCAGATAATTTTTCTATTTTTAGTAGAGATGGAGTCTTATTCTTGTTCAGACTGGTCCTGAACTCCTGAGCTCAAGTCATCCTCCCGCCTCAGCCTCCCAGGGTGCTGGCATTATGGGCGTGAGCCACTGAGCCTGGTCTTCTGTGAGCCCAGTCTTACAGACTGACAGACCAAGCAGTGACTTGAGCTACTCCTGCCAGGGTAGCACAGGGATCCAGATTCAGAAATGTCAAACTTGCAGAGAAGCACACAATGATGGCTAGAAACCCCAAGTCTGTGGAAAATTCACAGGTTTTCACCAGGACTGGGAGAGGCTGGAGGTCAGTAGTCTGGAGGCCTGTCACAACTCCTTGCACTAGGAGGCGAAGCTCAGTGAAGAGAGTATGGAAAAAAAGTAACCATCGTTTTAACTTTAGCAGAGTTTTGTCATTAACAGAATTTCAACTTGGAGTTTACAGAACTTCTTAAGAGTGAGCTGTTCACTGATCTCCAGCCTGGATGATGTTATAATATCACAGGGCAACTAACCTTCTAATATAGTGAGGAGCGAAGGGTTGGTTTTATGGGGTGGGGAGGTAGGATTGAAAGGGCAAGAGGAGGAACGTGCAGGGACACTGGTTGGCTAGATGCAACGCGGGGGACAGCTATAAACACAAATGTGTCTCTTAGACACTGTGAGATTATACTTCTCACTACAAACTCAAAAGGCTTTTTTTTTTGGAGACAGAGTCTTACTATGTCACCCATGGTAGAGTGCCATGGTGTCACAGTTCACAGCAACTTCAAACTCTTGGGCTTAAGCGATTGCCTCAGCTTCCCAAGTAGCTGGGACCCGCCACAACTCCTGGCTATTTTTTGTTGAAACTGTCATTGTTGTTTAGCTGACCCAGACTGGGTTTGAACCCACCACCCTCGGTGTATGTGGCTGGCGCTGGAACCACCGTGCTAGAGGTGCTGAGCCTCAGAAGACTATTTATGGTCCAGAGAAGATAGAAATGAAAACCAGGGCTCGGTGCCTGTGGCTCAAGTGGCTAAGGCGACAGCCACATACACCTAAGGTGGCAGGTTCGAATCCAACCCGGGCCTGCCAAACAATGATGGCTGCAACCAAAAAAAATAGCCAGGCGTTGTGGCGGGTACCTGTAGTCCCAGCTACTTGGGAGGTAGAGGCAGGAGACTCGCTTGAGCCCAGGAGTTGGAGGTTGCTGTGAGCTGTGATGCCACGGCACTCTACCCAGGGGGACAGCTTGAGGCTCTGTCTCAAAAAAATAAATAAACAAAATAAAAATTAAAAGAAAAAAAAAAAGAAATGAAAACCAGGCCTTCCTTGCCTAGCAAATAGAGCACAATAATCACACGGCACCAAATACGTTGACATAGCAATGTCACCTACGTTGCACTGATTACCCAACGAAGCAAGCTACTTCTGTTATAATTTACTTTTTTTTTGGAGACAGAGTCTCACTGTCACCCTGGGTAGAATACCATGGCATCATAGCTCACAGCAACCTCAAACTCCTGGGCTCAAGTGAGCCTCCTACCTCAGCCTCCCTCCCTGGAGCAGCTGAGACTCCAGGCACCAGCCACAATGCCCAGCTACTTTTTCTACTTTTAGTAGAGATGGGGTCTCGCTCTTGCTCAGGCTGGTCTTGAACCCCTGAGCTCCCAGAGTGCTGGGATTACGGGCATGAGCCACTGCACCTGGCCACATAATTCACTTTTCAATAAGGGAAAAAATTACTTCAAAGTGACCATCTGGTTCCGGGACAAAGAATAAGATTCTTTGCCTCCAGCATTCCATGCCTGGCCCTTTAACTGCAGAAACCAAGCAGCTTCCATTAAGCAATTTTTTAGAAAATGGGCACTCAGTGAAAAACAAAAACAAAGAACAACTTAGAGTGTTTCCCAATGCTGGAACATCTTATTCTTTGAGACCTGGCTTCAAATTCCACAAAAGCCATCCCTAAGTGCCCTCTCCCACCCGCCTTCTGCAGAACTCTTCCTTCTCTGACCTGGAGACTCTCTCACACTCCTAACCAGGCAATTCTACACCAAATTATATGCAATGTTGTGCTGTTTGCTGAAATTATATACAGTTATGTGCTGTTTACTAATTGTTTCATTGTGTACAAATGCTTTTTCTTTCCCAAGTAAAATATGGGCATTACTTGGGGCACAAGGTTTAGTTTTATTCTCCAGTTTGTCTGTTCCCTAATCCTCAAGCCTGAGCTGGGAAGAGCTAACACACAGCTTGCAAAATCCCCCTCCCTGTAGACCAGGAAGCACTGGGCAGCACCGGGCAGCACCAAGCAGTGGGGCTGACTGTGGATAGGGGCTGCCACCCTTTGCTTCTCCAGCATCTGTGACTCTCATGGAGCCTGCTGCCAGTTCAGTGGGCCCCCCTTCCGCCTATTCAGTACTCTAGACACGTCACAGGAGCCCTCAGTGGGATGTTCTGCCTGACACCTTCCCACTACCACTCCCAAGGGGAAGAAGTAGTTCACACAAGACCATACAACGCGGCTGGTGCCCTCATTTAATCAGACTGCTGCAAATGGTTGGCCAAAAGCAATAAGGGCATGACTGAGAGACTGTGGGAGTTTAATATAAAAAAATTAATAAAAAAGGGGGGGAAGGAGAAAGGGTCTACCTTTTAATAGGGCCCTAATTACCCAACTCATAGGATCAGCCCAAATGAGATGGGAGTTTATTTCGGGGTTTTTTTTTAATCATTGTTTTTTTATATATATATAAATTGCTGCTATGTGTTTTCTTTCCTCTGAGCAATTATGCAGCAAGTATGTAAAGAGGAGAAAAAAATATTAATTAAATATAAGGTAATTGTAGAGTTGGCCTGGAGAGAATGAGTCTGAACTCTGGACGATCACAGGCTACTAGGGTTTGAAGACTGCTTGGGGCCTCCCAGAAAAGAAAGAAATAAAAATACAACCAACCAACAAGCAGATGCATAGTACAGCAGGAAAAGAGCAGTGGACAGGAACATTAGCTGAGGGTCTGCAGGGCTCCAAATACCCAGAAATCAGTGAGCTTGCCAATTGCTTAGGACTCCCAACAGATTTTTCCATTCACACCCCAAAAGATGGACTGGCCACTCTTCTGGTTACCAGTCAAATCAGTAGCTCAAAATTCAAAAAGAGACAGAGGGCATAAAGGACTGAAGAGAACTACCATGTTCAATGTGGACATTAGTCTAAATCTAACCACAACTTGGGCCTTCAGGCCCAGAAGCAGACCCCATGAGAGGCACACAAGCTGTCCTCAGGAGACTGGCAAGGTGGAGCTGCCTCTAGCTTTCACACCACCACGACCTCAAAGAAGATTTCAGGCAATACCAAGAGTCCAATGAGGTCTCTATGGGAGTGCTGGGAAGTGAGCCCAAAATTGGTGACATAACAGCAGATGACATGAATGACAATACTACCTCCCAGAATCTACAGCTCAGCCAGATCAAGCTCACCCTCTACCTTGGAAAGCCTTAGCACATGCTAGAATTCAGACTTGTTCATACCAGCTGAGGACCTCACGTCATATCCTCCCACTACTGCCAGGAGAGTGAAGAAAAACAGGTGAGATGGCAGGCCCTATTGAAACAAAACCTAGGCAGTATACCTGAAAGCTTTCTTTTTTTTTTTTGAGACAATCTCACTATGTCGCCCAGAGTAGAGTGCTGTAGCATCACAGCTCACAGCAACTTCAAACTCTTGGGCTCAAGAGATTCTCTTGCCTCAGCCTCCCAAGTAGCTGGGACTACAGGCGCCTGCCACAATGCCCAGCTATTTTAGAGACAATGTCTTACTCCACCTCAGGTTGGTCCCAAACTTGTGAGCTCAGGCAATCCACCCATCTCAGCCTCCCAGAGTGCTAGGATTACAGGCATGAGCCGCCGTGCCAAACCTACTCTCGAGCTTTCTATCACTATTCAAAGGAAGAAGAAGCCTGAAAAGTTAAACCCAAAGATGGCTCTCCCATAAAACATACCTGGTTTGTACAGAACCAGTCTCACTACCCAGACAACATGATTTACAGCAGGTTCTGAAATGAAAATGGGGCAGGCAGGCAGGCAGAGACTCTGGCCACCAAAGCAAAACCACTTAGTAAAGAAAACCATCTTTAGGGCAGTGCCTGTAGCTCACTGAGTAGGGCACCAGCCCCATACACCGAGGGTGGTAGGTTCAAACCTGGCCCTGGCCAAACGGCAACAAAAAATAGCCAGGCATTGTGGCAGGCGCCTGTAGTCCCAGCTATTTGGGAGGCTGAGGCAAGAGAATCGCCTAAGCCCAAGAGCTGGAGGTTGCTGTGAGCTGTGATGCCACAGCACTCTAATGAGGGTGACAAAAATAAGTGTCTGTCTCAAAATAAATAAATAAATAAATAAATAATCACCTTTAATACCTGGCAGGCCTCTTCCCTATCAAGAGTCTAAGAAGATAATGTTGGTAATGACTATCATGAACCTAATTACTGACCAGGCAAAACCAGAATTCCCTCCCTTACCTGTTCTTTAAAGGCTACCTAAGGTGCCTGCAGAGAGTGGCTATTTCAGAAGCAATCCTTGGGCCCTGCAACCTCACGCCCACTTGGCCTCCTAAAGTTTCAAGCATCTCACTAATTACTATTGATCAGCCACAAAGTGGTGCATGACCATCTGGGTGGATGCTTTTAGTTCCAGAAAACACCAGCCTTTACTAAAGACAGATCTCACTAGTCCTTGCATCTAGAAAAGAAGTCAGAGGTCACTGACAGAGGCAGTCTCCACATAACACCTACTTTTAAAGGGACACTACCGATGCAGAACTGCAGATCCTATGCTCCTTGAAACTCACATAGCATTTTAATTATTAGAAAATGACATCACATACCAGCGGTTCTCGAGGCAGCACATTTTCACTTCCTGGGGTAGAGCTTGGCTGCAAAGAAAAAATAGAAACAAAATTAAGATCACAGTGCCACCCAATGGACACCAAAAAAACCCCAAAGATGGTCTATTCTCAAGCAACACATGCAGACACCTCTTTCTCCTATTTCCCACCAGTTTTTGTGACGTTAGAGTGTTCTGCAGTGGACAACCTGTAAGAAGTAGTCCAAAGAGAATGAATTCTCCAGGGAACATAAGAGATTGTTTCTGGATTCACTATCCCTACACCTCAAGAACAAGATTTGGAGAGCCAGGTGCTGGCACTCTGGGAGGCCAAAGCAGATGGATAGCCTGAGCTCACAGGTTTAAGACCAGCCTGTGCTAGAGTGAGGCCCCATCTCTAAAAACAGCCAAGCATTGTGGTGGGCACCTGTAATCCCAGCTACTTGAGAGACTGAGGCAAGAGAATCGCTTGAGTCCAAGAGTCTGAGGTTGCTGTGAGCTAGACATTGCTATGAGCTATGATTCCACCGCACTCTACCAAGGACAACAAAGTGAGACTGTCTCAAGAAAAAAAAAGAATAAGACTTGGTTTTGCTTGGGAAGGGCCCAAGATCAGCAACTGAGCAGCAAGGGCTGGGGACTATCATAAAACCCACAGGAACAATCCAGAGAGAAGAGAGAGCAACACTTTTTGCCACCTCCCCAACCTAGTGGCTTGGGAAGAAAAGTAGAGCAAAAGTAGAGAGCCAGACGCAGCCGCAAGGGGGCCCCGGCTGCACGCAGGATTCTCTGGACGCCTACAGTATGCAGAGTGGAGCCAAAATTCCAGTAAACTATGCTGGTTCCTACTTAACCCCCACAACAGAAAAGAAAGCCCCAGGCTTCAATCCTTTTCGGAAATAAGGTGGTGACTGGACAAACAGACCAACCTACAGGCGAGCAGGCAGCACTCCACCAGCCTCCTCAGTCTCTCATTCTGGGACCGCTCGTCACCCTCACAAGTGCCTTCAACTGCCACTGACGGGGCCAAAACTTAGAGAAAAGAAAAGGAGAGACAGAAATAGAGACAGACGCTGCAGAAATTTACAAATCTCCAAAAGACTAAAACAAGCAGACTGAGTGAACTATGATTAGTTTACTGTTACTGATGTTCAAGCCAATTGCCAATTATCTACAGATAATATCCAGACGAGTACAGCTCATCAGTGCATCCCAGGAGCCGCCTCCAGCCCTCATTCTCCTCACAGCCAGATCAGATGGCAAGTGCCAGGCCTCTTAGGAAAAAGAACAGAGGGTGGGAGAGGAAAGAGTCCAGTCCCCAGAGGATTCTCAGAGATTTTACAGGCCAGCTGCCACCACATGGCAGGCACAGAGCACAGTGACAAGAACACTGTAGATGACTATCCCTCCATCCAAAGTCCTGTCTCAAGAGTCTCTCCTTCCAGAACAAGGTCAGCCAGCAGGAAACTAACTAGAAAGTGAAGGCTTCCTTCCCTCCCTCCCCTAAGCCTCCAGGCATCATTAAGTTCCCACCTTTTATATTGCTAGTCCCTATCCCACTGAGCTCTGCATCCAACTGCCTTCTTGTTTCCTCGTGGACTGAACTTGTCCCACAGCAGACACAGTGCTCTCCCTCTGCCATGTATGTTCTCTTCCAGTAAATGGCACAAGCTTCACCAAACTATGCACACCAGAATCCAAAAGGCCAGCCTAGGGCTCTCAGCCGGTAACCCTAGCACTCTGGGAGGTGGAGGTGGGTGGACTGCTTGAGTTCAGGAGTTTGAGACTAGCCTGAGCAAGAGACAGATGAGGATATTGTGGTGGCGTCTTTAGTCCCAGCTACTCAGGAGGCTGAGGCAAGAGGATCACTGAGCCCAAGAGTTTAAGGTTGCTGGGAGCTACGATGCCATGGCACTCAAACAAGGGTGACAAAATGAGACTCTGTCTCAAAAAAAAAGGGAAACAAAAAAGGCCAGCCTCGACAGCTCCTTCTCCCCATTCCACAGAGCTAGCCCATTATCAAGTCCTGCCAATACCCTTTCCTAAATGTCCATGAAATCAGTGTATCCACTCTCTCTCTCTCTACTGCCATCACTTTGGACCAAGCTACCAAAATCTCTTCCTGGGACCACTGCAGTGGCCTTCTCATCGGTACACCTCCATGCACACTGCTCTCTTCCGATTCATTTTCCACAATGCAACAGACTATCACTTCCAAATGATACCTGATCATCTCATCCCTTATCTACTCAGTAAAACAACTTTGAATTCTCATTGCCTTAGAAGACAGAAAACACTTCCCAGGCGGCGCCTGTGGCTCAAAGGAGTAGGGCACCGGCCCCATATGCCAGAGGTGGCGGGTTCAAACCCAGCCCCGGCCAAAAACTGCAAAAAAAAAAAAAAAAAACCACTTCTCCACATGGCCTACAAGGCCTTGCAGCTACTGGCTCCATTTCAGGTCTGCCCTCACCAGACACACTGGCCTTTGCTCCCTCTGTCAATGAGCCTTTGCACATCCTGTTCCTTCCTTTCTCTCTTTTGACACTTGATCTCCTCCTTCAGACCCAGCTAAGGAACTTTCCTGGGGAAGTTCTCCTTTTCTCACATCCAAGACTAGGCCAATCTCCCTATTATACACTCACATGACATCATACAGCTCTCCTTCAAGGACTGGGCAGAACTGCAATTTTACAGGTGTGTGGTTATCTGACCGATGTCTGTCTCTCATCAAACTATAAACACATGGGCAGAAACTGTGTTTGCTCACAGCTGTATCCGGGGGCCTAGGACAGTGCTAGGCACACAGTAGACCTTCAATCGATGTTTGCTGAAAAAATGAATGAATGAATGAGCAACAAAGAAGAGAACAATGTACAAGACCAGCTTTGGCAATACAGAGAGACCCAGTTTCTTAAAAAAAAAAAAAAAAATTAACCAGGCATGATGGCACACGCTTGTAGTCCAAGCTACTCAGGAGGCTGAAGCTGCAGTAAGCTATGATCACCAGGGTGACAAAGTAAAACTCAACTGAATGGATTATATATTAAGGCTCATTATCTTCACTCCATTTGGTACTTTTGGTAGACTCACTGCTAACTGCTAACATTTACTTAGCTCCTTCTTCATTTAATTCTGACAATAAATGTATGAAATTATTGCTGATGAGGAAACTGAGGCAAGGGAGGTGAAATAATTTGTCTGTGACAACTCAGCTAGTAATTGGTACTACAGGGATTTGAACACTTCTACTTAATCAAAATAATGTGTGTTCAGACCACATTTTATCAAGCAACAACCTTAACACTACCTACCCCATGAATAATAACGTACATCATTTGACTAGACACAACAGATAAACGCAAACCACTTAAGGACTTCAGAAGCCTGTTCTAACTTAACCCAAAACTTTCTTCCTGGGATACAGTCAATCACTGTGAATCATCATCATCAAAGAACTTCCTTGAAACTAGTTCATCTCTTGAATAGCTTGTATTTACCAGAAGGAAAAACTTAAACAGTACATACAGTGCCAAGTAAATCTTTTTCATCATATACCCTTTAGTACCTTTTCAAATTGTGAGCCACTTAAATATATTCTATAAAAAGTAAACAAGGTTTCGATATTAAAAGTTAAAAAGAGGCCTGGTGTGGTGGCTCACATCTATAATCCTAACACTTTGGGAGGCCAAGGTGGGTGGATTCCTTGAGCTCAAGAGTTCAAGACCAGCCTGAGCAAGAGAGCAAGACCCTGTTTCTACTAAAAATAGAAAAACTAGCCAGGCATAATATTATAGCCTGTAGTCCCAGCTACTCATGAGGCTATGGCAAGAGGACTGCTCAAGCCCAAGAGTTTGAAGTTACTGTGAGCTACGACATCACAGCACTCTACACAGGGCAACAGAGTGAGACCCTGTCTCAAAAGTAAAAAAGAAAGCCTCCTTTCTTCTCATTCCAACCCATTCCTGAATATTCTGCCAGAATACTGAAAGCATATAAGAAGCACATGTGTTTGCACAGTCCACCAAGGAATGTGAAGCAGCAACACTCCCCAAACCCTTCAAGGCCTCCCAGAGCCTTCTGGGGTCTCAGCTCAGCAAAGCCAGCCCTCCTAACTCAGAAAGCAATTTCCCAACACACAGGGCCATGTTGGGCAAACAGACCTTATCAGTGACCTTCCAGAGGACTTTCACCAACCCAGGAACTGCCCAATACGGATCATATTTAGATGATTCTCCAGCTAATGATAAAATCTCTCCAGTCTAAAAAGGATCGTCACCCATTTCCTGTCTCTGTTCTTTAGAAAACTGCTTCTTACTACTCTCCATGTTTGCTTTCTTGATAACACCATCAGAAATTCCTTACTGGGTAACTAAAATTGTCCTTGGTATAGTTGAGAGATTGGTTCCAGGCCCCTGTATACTCAGTCTGCACATACTAAACTCAAGCCCTGCAACTGGCCCTGCAGAACCCATGTTTGGTTTTTGTTTGTTGTTTTGATTTCCTGAGACAGAGTCTCAGTTGCCCTGGGGAGAGTGCAGTGGTGTTATCACAGGTCACAGAAACCGCAAACTCTTGGGCTCAAGTGATCCTCTTGCCTCAGCCTCCCAAATAGCTGGAACTACAAGTGCCCACCACAACACTCAGCTATTTTTAGAGACAAGGACTTGCTCTTGCTCAGACTGGTCTCAAACTCCTGAACTCAGGCAATCCACCCGTCTCGGCCTCCCAGAGTGCTGGGGATTTTTGTTGTTGTTTTTAGAGACAGAGTCTCACTTTGTCACTTTCCGTAGAGTGCCATCACATCACAACTCACAGCAACCTCCAGTTCTTGGGCTTAGGCAATTCTCTTGCCTCAACCTCCTGAGTAGCTGGGACTACAGGTGCCCGCCACAATACCTGGCTATTTTTTGTTGCAGTTTGGCCAGGGTCACCAGTTTGAACCTGCCACCTGATATATGGGACCGGCGCCCTACTCACTGAGCCATAGGCACTGCCCAAGTGCTGGGTTTTTATAAGCATGAGCCACTGCAGCCAGTCTGGAACATGTATTTGGAAAAGTCAGCCTTCCATATACTCACATCTGCAAAGGCTGTATTTTCCATTTGCATTCGGTGGAAAAAAATCCACATGAGTGGACCCTTGTAGTTCAAATCTATGCGATTCAAGGGTCAACCACGGGTTGCTATCTATCTCTCCCACAGATTTTAAACTTCTTGCAGACAGGTGCTTATTGAAGTCTGTGTTTTTAAAACCTAGCATATCATTGGTACTCAATAAATGGAGAACTAGATTTATATATATATATGTTATATATCTTATGTCTGTAATATATGCATATTTTATATTTTTTACATGTGTATTATACATATATACATATATATATGTTTTTTATATATATATTTTAAAGACAGGATTTCATTATGTTGCCCCAGGATAACCCTGAACTCCTGGGCTCAAGCTATCCTTCTGCCTCAGCGTCCAGAGTAGCTGAAACTACAGGCACGTGCCACTGTGCTTGGCTATTTTAAAACTTAAAAGTAAGGGCCAGGTACAGAAGCTATGGCCAGGCTATGGCTCACACTTGTAATCCTAGCACTCCAGGAGGCTGAGGTGGGTGGACTGCCTGAGATCAGGAGTTCAAGACTAGCCTGAGCAAGAGCAAAACCCCAGTCTCTAAAAATAGCTGGGAATTGTGGTGGGCACTTATAGTTCCAGATACTTGGGAGCTGAGGCAAGAGAATCAACTTTAGCCCAGAAATTTGAGGTTGCTTTGAGCTATGACACCATAGCACTCTACCTTGGGTGACAAAGTAAGACTCTGTCTCAAAAATAAATAAATAAAACAAACTTAAAACTAAGGAACCACTGTCTGCATAAGCCCATATGAAGCAGAGGACCATGGCAGTGTGTTGCTCTGGAACATTTCACCTACGACTAACTCAAACATGGAATACGCTAATGTAGCCTGATGGTTCTGGACCACAGGGCAGTTATCACCCCCGTGGGGATTTGGAAACACTTGGAGGTGTTTCTGGCCATCACAATGACTAGGGGGCCCACTGGCATTCAGAAGGCAGGGGCCAAAGAGGTTAAATATCCTGCAATGTACCCAGTAAAGAACTGCTCCATCCCAAACACCAATGTGACAACCTGGAGAACCTTGACCTCCTTGCTTCCTTGTGCTGAGGGAGACAGACTCCCACCTGAACATGCAATGCTACATGCTGCTTGAAAGAAAGGCCAAGGGCTGGGCAGCCAACCGGTTGTCAGAGACCAATAACCAAGCTCACATAAGTTCATTAGTCTCAGCCCAGCTCTTGCGAAAGCTCAACACTTTCTCAAACACCTGCCTCCGCATCAACTGGTCAAGTCTATTTACTGGCTTGAGATAAATTCTACATACTAAATTCCAACCTGGCCCTGGGACTCTTCACAGGACAGTCTATGATTTAAAAAATAAAAATAAGATTCCATGTACAGTGACTCACACCTATAACCCCAGCACTCTGGAAGGCCAAGGCAGGTAGATTGCCTGAGCTCACAGGTTTGAGACTAGCCTGAGTCAGAGCGAGACTCCATCTATTACTGAGCCAGAGCAAGAGCATCTCTAAAAATAGCTGGGCTTTGTGATGGGCACCTGTAGTCCCACATACTCAGGAGGCCGAGGCAAGAGAATCAATTAAGCCCAAGAGTTTGAAGTTGCTGTGAGCTGTGACACCACGGCACTCTACCAAGGGCAACAAATTAAGACTATTATAACATAACATAAAATAGAATGAGAGGATATAAAAATCTTATCAAGTCACTCCTCTGTTCAAAATCAACTGGACTTCCACTTCTGGCCATGATGGAATAACAGGAACCAGACTGCTCTCCGACTGTAAACTAGAAAACCAAGCAAAATAAATAAAACCACTGTGTGTAGACACTGGACAGCAGTCTGCACAGGACTATGATCTCAGACAGAACACAAATAAATGACGTGAGCCCTAAAACTGCTCTTGCTTTCTCCCAAGAGGCACTTTTCCGACCAAGGAGAGTGAGAGGGATCCCTAGCAGCGCATAGCAGTGACAGCTGAAAAGACAAGATAAGAGTTCAAGGAAGCTAAGACAGCTAAAAGTTGTAGGACAGAGTTCCAGAGAGGAAAAAGTAATCCAGAAAAGCTCCAGAAATCTGCCTGGGGCTTCCCTCGAGTGAATCTTCCCTGAATATTAAAATTTCTGCATGCAGGCTCGGGGCCTGTGGTTCAAGTGGCTAAGGCGCCAGCCACATACACCTGAGTTGGCGGGTTCAAATCTAGCCGGGGCCTGCCAAACAACGATGGCTGC